AATGTCATTTGTACTAAATCATTCACTTGTACTCACTAAAGGAGAGCTTGAACCTATGTACTTGTGTAAACCCTTCACAATTAATGAGAACTCCTCTATTCCGTGGACGTAGCCAATCTGGGTGAACCACGTACATCTTGTGTTTGCTTTCCTATCTCTATCCATTTATATACTTATCCACACTAATGACCGGAGCAATCTAGCGAAGATCACAAAAAGCGACCGTTTTCGCTACCTAGGATCTATCTTGCAAGAGAACGGAGAATTAGATGGAGATCTCAACCATAGAATACAAGCTGGATGGATGAAGTGTAAGAGTGCATCCGGCGTGTTGTGTGTGACCGTCGTAGGCCACTGAAGCTCAAGGGAAAATTTTATAGGACGGCAATAAGGCCAGCGATGTTGTATGGCACAGAATGTTGGGCGGTGAAGCATCACACACACAAAATGGTGTGTAGCGGAGATGAGGATGCTTCGTGGGATGTGTGGGCACACGAGAAAGGATAAGATTGGGAAATGAGGATATCCGAGGTAAAGTAGGAGTAGCCGAAATTGAAGGAAATATGAGAGAAATCGGTTCCGGTGGTTTGGACATGTGCAAAGAAGGCCTACTGACGCTCCGGTTCGAAGATGTGACTACGGGACAGAGGTTCAGGGCCGAAGGGGTAGAGGAAGACCTAGGAAAACTTTGGAAGAGACCCTAAGAAAAGACTTTAGAGTACTTGGATCTAATGGAGGACATGACACAAAACCGAGCGCAATGGCGTTCTAGGATTCATATAGCCGACCCCACTTAGTGGAAAAAGACTTTGTTGTTGTTTGTTGTTGTTGTTTTTGTAAACGAGCAACAACATATAGAACTAATGAACATGTATTGCTTCACAGCTTTGCTGGCCTTTAACTTCCAAATTGAGCAATTTTCCACAATCAGAACCAGCTGCATGGTACCCAATGCAACTATGCACACCATTACTCCATACATTTCAATACCCACTTGAACAGCCTGACTTGTACCTCTACTCTCAAAGTATCCAGGAAGCAAAGAATTCCAAGAAATATTTGGTTTAGTAATTTCACACAAATCTAGGTCCAAGAAAAACCTCAAGGCATTATGCTCATTGCCACACCTAGAGTCCAGATGCATAATGACACTACTCACATAAACTGAGCACCTACATAGAAAGTCCACCTGTACACCAACCCTATGAATTTGTTTCCCTTCTTTCTCAGCAAACAAGGCACCAATCACAACAGTAAACACAAAATTAACAACCATGCTCGTAGTATTATTTGGAAATTTGTGTGTTAATACCAGCGGCCATATCGGTTGACAAGAATATGCCCTCTCAATTGGCAACCCCCATGTTTTGTACAACACAGTATTTCCCATAATCCAATTTGTTTTACCAATTGAGATGAGTATGAAACGTAAAGCCTCAACTACAATCCAAGGTGGAATTGCAAATATAGCTTCTACAATGGGCAACAATGTAGTACTAGCTTCCTAGATCAAATTAGTTCTCCAGAGAGTTAACAATAACAAACCCAAAACACTAGACCCATTCTCCAGTTTTGGCATGTGCATTGCACCGGTGAAGGCAGCATCCAATTTCATGTGCTTATCATATTTGCTACTAAGATGGTAAAGAATACCATGGTCACTCATTGTCATCATTCTTCTACCAATTAATATACCACCCTCAAGTAAATGACTAGTATCTGGCAAACCAAAAGATCCATGAACATTCCTTTCAAATGTTAGTTTCTTCTGCCCGTAAAAGCTATGAACCAGATAATCATCCCTAACATTTGGGAATTTCTTCTTCCCTGCCCCTCTCAATTGAATATTTGAACTATAAAATTCTCCACCTTCAACCTCAAATATTCCATCTTGGCTACATTCAATAGAATCTCTAGATGCATTCATACAAGAAAAATGAATATTCAGAGTAACCATATACTTGAATTTTGAGCCTCCACCCTTATTGCGAATACCCTTGCAATAGCACATGTCATAATTGACAACAACACAACAATTTGAGTCTGGAATTTCATCAAACACGTTGAGAGCAGGACGAGTTTTCTCAGCAGGTACAATAAAGGGGTCAGCTTCCTCCAAAAAATTCCTCTTTTTCGCATTAAGAACAAAACCCAACTCACAAATTGCCAGAAAATCCATTGAGTTGAATTCAGAGAGACAAACAGTTCCATCTTTGTTATATGCAGTAGCATTTTCAGATTCTTTTGTACACGAAGATATAAGGATTGTGCTAATCTTGTTCCTGAATATTCTCGAATGGTCTTTCCAAATCTTGTTTTTTGCCAAACCACCACCTTTATCACGAATTCCTTTATGGTAACGGAATTGAAGAATAAGAACAACACCAGTAGAAGCATCATCTTGCACCAAAATGGTTTCAACTTTTCCTCTGGTGTCAGAAATCGACATATGATAGCCCAACTGAAAATCACAATCTATTGAGTGTGACCTTTCATCAAACACCTGGGGTGTAGGTGAATCAATTTTCACAAACCCATAATCAGAAACAGGAATTGTGAAAATGAAATCCTGGACCACGTCGTTCTTGCAACTAGATTCACGAATAGATGAAGGTGTCGTCCCGAACTGAATGAATTTATGTCCAAAAGAAGTAGCCAAGCCATTACGAAATGTAGAACCCAGAACACAAACTTGAACCTTGGATTTCCTGCAATCAGAATCAAGAACTGGAGAAGCTACTATATAATCTTCAACTTTCTTGTTGAATAAAGAAACCAACTCCTTTGCGGTGCCTGCCTTGTGATTAGAATCAAGTAATGGAGGAATTTTCACAGAATCTTTAGTTTCCCTGTCGAACAAATTGAAAACTTTTTCGTCCTCCACAACCAAAGCTTTCCGAAAAAACCCACAACTTTCTTCAAATTTGGAATTGGAACGAAATATTGCAGAACCATTGTCATCGTGTTTGCCGTAGTCGCGAACTTTCTTGAATATCTTCAATATGGGTCTTAAACAAGGATGAGTCTTGGGCTTGTAACTTTGATGAAATTGAGAGAATTGATTCACACTCTCTTTGGCATGAATTTTTTCCACATGGAAGGATTGAAGCTTGAGAACGACTTGGTTCGATTTCTCAAAAGAGATAGGAGATGCCATTTTGATGAACGGCGGATGCGAACCCATATCGCATTTGTCCACAAAATCGTGGTATAGTTTCTCGAATCGAGCATCAGAAGAATCTTGACGAGCTTCCATGGCGTCAAATCATTGGATTAGCACATTGAGAGTGTCGTTAATCGCAGCAAGATGGTTATGAAATTCCATGGCTTCCTTCGTCGACGCGCTATTCAATCGGCAAAAGAGAAGGGATTGAGGAATCAAGATTGGCTCGATACCAATGATAGAACCCCACTTCAACCTTTACTCAAATGCAAGATATACTAACAAGAACACTAATACAATCAAATATTCATTTCCTTTGTATCTGCACATATCTCAGCGTATCTAGCTGGTTCCAGGCTAAAGAAATCCAACTCAACAATTGACACTTGGCTAACTAAGTGATGCTGGCATCCTAACAAAAGTTCGCCACTAAGAATGTTGCCGAATAAGCCAAGATATTGGAGGTTAGAGCAACTTGATATGTTGAATGGAATATGACCCTGAAGGAGTTGTTTTCAAGGCGTAGTCTTTGCAAGCAGAACAAACAACCAAATTCTGGAGGATGGGGGCTGAAGCTATTGTTATTGAGGTATAAAGCCCGCAGAACCGTGATTTTCAATTGTTGTTCCGTGCTAGGAAATTGGAAAGCTCTGAAACAATATAGTTCTTGAGCTAATGTGAAGATTTTGGGTTGAATACTTTGATTCTGTTTTTCTATTTGCACTTAGAAAAATAGAAGATTGTGGTTAGTTATTGTGCTGTGAAGCTTCTATTTTTTCTATTTAGATTGAATTTGTTCTCTCCGTTGTTGAAAAGTACTTCCAACTCTCTCTCTCTCTAAAAATATGATCTAGTGTGAAATTTGGTTGTTTCTCTCCAGAAACTTATATTCATATTGCACCCATCAACTCTAATCATTCCTTGATGCTGATGGTTTTGTTCATTTATTTTGTTTCAGAAGTAAATGCCTAAGGTTTTGATCTTTGTGTTTCAAAAATAAACGCTTGATGTTTTGATCTTTGTGTTTCTCTCTCTAGATTAAGCTTAATCTTTCTTATTCGTACTAATCTAGAAGTGGGTTGAGTTCTAACCTTTGCTTTCTATGATGTTTAAAAAACTCTTAATATTTTATGGGATTAATGCTAATTTCTTTTTCTTTTGACAGAAGATGGAAAAATTACACTAAATTTACTTAAAACTACGGGGAGAGAAATTCGAACCCGCAATGATCTTACTCTCTCGATCTTATTTATCACAACCCAGTTTTTTGTTTTTAGAAATCAAGTTTTGTGCTTTCATTTTTTATGATTTTATTTCGTCTTTCAATCAGTTTTTTGTTTCTTTCAGGGTGAGCCGCAGTGATCTTGACGTGACCCAGCAAGTTCTATCGTTCGTCAGGAATATCTCTATTCATCAGGAGGCTTGACTTGATTTCCCTCTCTCCGATGACGACGAAGAAGATTCAGATGGTATCCTCTGCTACGATTTGTCCATTTCTTTGTGTAGTTCAATTCAATGTTCTTTGTTTTCATCAATCATTTGGTTATCTTATTGTAAATTAGTGTCAGTGTATGGTCAATGTTCGTAAATGATAAATTTGAGCTATTTGCGTTGCCAATACAGAGTTTTCGATTCGTATTTGTTTCAATTGTAACTTTGAATTTAATGCATTGTATAGTGATTCAATGATCTAGACCTCAGTTCAGATTCTTATGTAAGGACTTTAACTTTAATTTTTTCAGTGAATATTAAAATTTGAATAGATATAAGAATTTGTAATAAGATACAAAGAAGTTCTTAGTAGCTGACTGACCTCATTTATATGGAAAATATTTTGCAGTTGGAGTTGGTGTTGCTTACTATTGTTTGAGACCTATTATAGAGGCTATGACCTTTATCTTCTCAATGCAGGTTTGATATATATTTTTTTAATTTTATTTAATTTTATTATAATCTATGGAAAACTTTTATACTGGAGTTTCAATGTTATATTCAGTGGTTGATGTCCTGGCACTAAAGATTATTTGGGATTCTCATAAACTATTTCCATGTAAATGCTAACTGAAAGATTCTTATCATCTTTCTAGATCAGTTGGTCTATTTTTCTTTAAAGGATTCTGTTCTGGTGTTTATTGCAGGCAATAGACACATCATCAATTCTACTGCAAAATCAAATTATGTCTGATGGCTAGATAAATGTACCCATTATTTGGAAGAGGACCAAATGGTGCTGTTGCTGGTGTTGGTGCCCAGCATTCTCAAGTACTGTTCCGCACGCCTTTTCTTTTTAAGTCTCTTTACTACTTTATTACATTACCATATTTTATATGTTACCTTCTGTTTGTTTCTGATCTATCATTTACCCACATCCACAGCATATTTAGCCTTCATTTATAAGTGAGTTGCGAATGAATTTGGACCACTTTTATGATATGCTTTCAGTCAAGTATCTGTGGTTAACTATTGGTTACAGTGAAGTCCTAAATTATAATTTCTTCAATCTTGCAGATGGTAGAGTCATTAGTGCTGGGATAGTATTGTACAATCGAATCGAACCAATTACTGGATCCCCAATTTGACCGACTCAACATATATGCCAAGAAAAATAGTACAAATTATATTGTGAAGCCACATTTTCAATCAACTCATCTTTAGCAGCTTTTGGTAAGAGTGTTCAAGGAGTGCGAGGGGCACCAGCTTCTAATGGCAACCGAAATATTGGAGGGTACACACTATGTTCTACATCCTAATGGCTCAGCCGTGTTTATAGTAAATATCAATGAATCTTGGGATATGCCGATTCCCTCTCTGTGTTTGAAGATGGTCAGAATTTGTTGAACATAGGCTGTCAGTCTAAATTTATTACAATTTAGATGCAAATTGAAAGAATTATGAATATGAACAGTTTTAGAAATCCCAGAGTCATACCTAATATCAATGCTCTCAGTTTATTACTCTAAAGCTTCATGGTTTTCAACATTTAGTACATGAAGCTTTTTTCGTCCCAGAGTCATACCTAAAGTGTTAATTTTGGGACAATCTCATACATCCGTTAGTCTGGCTGTAAAGTTGTCACAGTCCGTCCCGGAATTTCATACTCGTTGATATGAAATGACGAAAATACCCTTAGCGGGGGCTAAGGTACGTGTGACACATTATTGGTTTAATTGTATAGTCTCCTAAAATTTTGGAAAAATATTTATGTGGGATTAAAATTGGTTGTGTTTTGTGTGGTTAGGGATTAAAGGAATTGGGTTTTGGATTGTTTTGGTTGGACCACACAAGACTCACTCGCTCTCTCTTTCCCCGTGTCTCTCTCTCTCTCCTCCCTCACGGCTTCCTCTCTCTCTCACTCTCGAAGTGTACGGACGAGACCAAAACCCTTCAAAACTCCACGGATCGAAGCTAAAAAGGTATGATTCTTCATCCTTTCGACCTCCTGAGTCGTTTGGTGCTAGTTTTAGGAAGTGAAACCTTCGAAATCACGTGAAACCCGAACCCTCATATTATGTCACTATTCATGCAATCGTAATATGTTGCATTTCAGGGAATTTCAAGCTCGTAGTGAGCTTAGTGAGGTCCCAAGGAAGCTCGGAGTGCTTCGTTTGAAGGTTTTGGACGTCGGGATCACTAGGTTCGATTTTGGCCGGTTTTGCTTGGAACTTTCCGGTGAGATTTAGTTGTTTTTAGAGCCTTAAAGTAGTATATTGTAAAACTACATGTTGAGGGATTCAAATTGATATAAAATTCGAAGAAAATGGTTGAGAAACGAGGGAGAACAAGGCAATTGAAAATTGCCCAGTTTTTCCCGCCACCGGAAAGTTCAGTCCGGCGAGCTCGCAAGGAAGAAGACGCGCGTGGGCGCGCGTGTGTCCGTGCCACATCAGAAATTTTTTCTAAAAATTCCTCGACGTCCGTGACGTCGAATAGGTCACTGTGGTATATTTATATACCCAATTTGAGCACCGTATGAGAAGTTATTACGAATTATTGGTAATGTGCTTTAAATAACGTTTTTATAGTTGTTTCGCATATAGGTAACACCTATCCCGAGGACGAGCGTATCCAGGGACGTCACAGGGGTTACGACCCTTCGACTTATCAGTGAGTGGGCAGTACTTTCTGTATTTACCTATATGCTATCTATTTTCCCAGAAATTGGATTTAAATGATAATATGTTTCTAAAATGTCATGCATGCATATTATGAATTATATGATTGGATAATTGATGCATATATATGTGAAATGGTGCTGTGGACGCACAGGTGAGTATCAGGTGAGTTTTATGTTGTGTATATGAATCATTGATGATGTGATTATGATGAGAGCTCATAACCTGCACCTTTGGTATTAGTGCTTATAGTATTCACCGCACCGCACACTCACCTTGGATCCAAGTAGGTGCATGTCGTACAGACCATGAGAGGGTTCTGACATGCTAGTCGTACAGATCACTGAGGTGATTCCGACTAGTAGGTGACTTTAGATTATGCGCGCAGATGATTGATGAGAGAAGCACTAGAGCGTATTCTTACACCATTCTTGTCGTACAGACTACTTCGGGTAGTTCCGACTTATGTGCAGTGTAGTGCCGTACAGGTCACCGTGGTGACTCCGGCAGTGCCGTACAGGTCATAGTTTGTGACTCCGGCTGGTTTGGATGTTGAGCTTTAGAATTAACCATACAGGACCAATTTTAGGGTCTCTGGTTGATTTATTATATCACCTGCTTTATTGATGCATCCATATTCTATTTTGACATTTACAGCATGGCATGATTTCTAGATTTTGATAAAGAATGATGAGATGAGATATATGAAGATTTTTATACTATTATGTTATTTTCTGGGAAAAGTATACAGGTTTTACAGTGAGGGGTTAGAATTGTTTTTGGCGAAATGTTTTTGAAAAGCTTTGGTTTTACTGACCCACTCTATCTTGTTTTTCGCCCCTCCAGGTTCTAGTTAGCAGCATCGATAGCCCACAAGGATTTCTATGGAGTTCTGACAGACTTCTTTAATGTAGGACTCACCTGCGGGTGTTGTATTCTAGTTATGGTCCTACTTGACTGCAACTAGTGTTTATGCTCTGTTTATGTGTGTGTTCACACCTTATTTCACTCTAGCATGTTAGTCGGTTAATATTTGCTAGTATTTGGTTTTAATTCCCTCGTAATTCTTTTAGCTTCTGCTTCCACACCGCACTTATGGTTACGTCACGCTCACGTGACGGCCAGCACGCCTTGGTTTTAGGATCGGGGTGTGTCAAAAGTCTTCCATTAACTAATGACGTGGCGCTCACGTGGACAATGACTGGGCACCACGTGTTATTAAAAAAATTAAACTATTAAAATAATTAATTAAATAAAAGTTAAAAAAAAAAATTCCCTAGATCCCCTTTCCCACCCCGACCCCTTCCCTTCTCCATCTGCACGTCTGCACATCCGCTCTCACCCTCACTCTTCGCTCTCTCTCTCACTCTCTGATCTCACTCTCACTCCCCAGATCCCCAGATCCCTCTGCACCTCTGCACATCCATCCTTCCTCAGATCCCTTTTGTCTTCCCCACCCCGAGCGACTTGTTGTCGACACGTGTAACGATAGAGGCCTTTCTATGGAAGAGAGGGTCGTCGTGCTTCCATCCGAGGACGATGGACTTGTCAGGTTCCTGGAGCTCAACAAAGTGGAGCGCGTATGACGAGGTGGAGGTGAAGAGCGCGTGGGAGTTAAGGATGGTGCAGACGGCGTTGAGTTCTTGGATGGTGAAGGGGTCAAGAAGGTGGTGGGGGGTGTCGAAGTTGTGGTCTTTGAGGCGGCGCGTTGGGATAAGGGGTTTGGATTGGATGAGGTTTTTGGAGGAGCACCAGGTGGAGTTTGTTGTGCAGTCGAGGATGTCGAAGACGTACGAGCGGCGCGTAAGGGAGGTGGGACCAAATGAAGAGGAAGACTAGGCCTATGTAGAGGGAAAGGGAAAAAAAAACGCAAGAATCTCCGATCTTCCATGGATTCTGTGTTTCAGAGTTGGAGTTTGAGGGAGGGGGAAGGATGGATGTGCAGAGGTGCAGAGGGAGAAGGGAGGGGAGTCGAGGTGGGGAAGACAAAGGAGATCTGGGGAATTTTTTTTTTTACTTTTATTTAATTAATTATTTTAATAGTTTAATTTTTTTAATGACACATGGTGCCCAATCATTGTCCACGTGGGTGCCACATCATTAGTTAACAGAAAACTTAACAGCCAGACTAACGGATGTATGAGATTATCCCAAAATTAACACTTTAGGTATGACTCTAGAATGAAAAAAACTTCATGTACTAAATATTGAAAACCACGAAACTTGAGAATAGTAAATTGAGATTTACCCTTCGTTTATTGTATTGCTCTTAATGTAAATTCAATATAATATGAACGCAACCTAAGAATTATTTTTAGCATGTAGATTTAGCAGCTTTGATTGGTTACTAAATTATTTAGGAATGAGTGTACGGTTTCAAAATATGTTGTGTAGCGCAGACATTATTGCTAGTCACTACTATAAAAGTACTATTTGATAACTTCACAACTATAGAAGTGCTATTTGATAACTTTTTTTCTGATATTTTTTTTTTTTTACAAAATGATACATATACACTGAGGAGCTGGAAAAATAAATTTGGTTGTGAACTCATCCTTTTTTATATTCGAATTTGAAACATCTCACTTATCAATATAGAGTAACACCATTAGTACTAAGTATCTTTTTTTATATCTTTTGCGAGAATCGAAACTAAGACCTTTCACTTACAAGTAAAGAGGAATATCACTTGATCGTAGTACTAAGTGGCTTTTTTCTTGGATACTTAGATATAAAAATCAAGGAAAATTAGGATTAAATTGGTTTCCAATCCAAATAAACACAATGGTTAAACATATGTTGACACCTCGCTTCCCATTCCATACTCTTAAGTTATAACGACAAAAAGTAGCTAGGTTCTCATGTGCGACTTCACAAAAATCATGGTGCAGGCACAAATAATATATATATATATATATATATATATATATATATATATATATATTTACATGGGGGAGTATAGCCTTTGGAGCCTTTTTATGACACTGGAATTGCTTTTGTGCAAAGGAGATGGGTAAGAAGCATCCCAGAACCGTTTTCGGCTAATCTCATTAACGTTAGTCCCGCATAATAACAAACACGGGACTAGACTAATAGTTAGTTCAGTCTAGTCCAGTGATAATTAGTGAGGGTAAACAAACGCCCCTTTAAATATTAGTAAGCGATGAAAGTCACTGTTAGATGACACAAAGACGTGAGAATTAATAGCCATCACAGCCTTGTTAGTCAATAGAAAGAAAATTGAATCAACGCGGTTTTTAGCTTTGATTTGTCAAACTGTTAAAGATCAACACCAGCCCATTAAGATTAGTCGATATAA